AGGGGACAGAGACACAAAAATCCCTTCAAAAAAATCAGTAAATCCAGGAGCTTGTTTTTTGGAAAAGATCAACAAAATAGACCGCTAGCCAGATTAATAAAAAAGAAACAGAGAAGAATCAAATAGATGCAATAAAAAATGATAAAGGGATATCACCACCGATTACACAGAAATACAAACTACCATCAGAGATTACTACAAACAATTCTGTGCACATAAACCAGTAAACCTGGAAGAAATTGATAAATCCCTGGACACTTGCACCCTCCCAAGGGTGAGACCCTGAATAGACCAATAACAAGGGCTGAAGTTGAGGCAGCAATTAATAGCCTACCAATCAAAATAAAGCCCAGGTTCAGATGGGTTCACAGCTGAATTCTACCAGACATACAAACAGGAGCTGGTAACACTCCTTCCGAAACTATTCCAAACAATATAAAAAGAGGGAATCCTTCCCAAATAATTCTGTGAGACCAACATCATACAGATACCAAAACCTGACAGAGACACAACTAAAAAAGAAAACTTCAGGCCAATATCCATGATGAACATAGATGCAAAAATGTACTTTTCAATAAAGTACTGGCAAACCGATTGCAACAGCACATCAAAAAGCTTATCCATCACGATCAAGTTGGCTTCATCCTGCGGATTCAAGTCTGGTTCAACATACACAAGTCAATAAATGTAATCCACCACATAAACAGAACCAAAGACAAAAACCACATGATTATCTCAATAGATGCAGAGAAGGCCTTTGACAAAGTGCCACAACCCCTTTATGCTCAAAACTCTCAATAAACTAGGTATCAATGGAACATATCTCAAAATAATAAAAGCTATTTATGACAAACCCATAGCCAATATCATACTGAATGGGCAAAAACTGGAAGCATTCCCTTTGAAATCTGGCACTAGACAAGGATGCCCTCTCTATTCAGTATAGTATGCCTCCTATTCAGTATAGTAGTGGAAGTTGTAGCCAGAGCAATCAGACAAGAAAAAGAAATAAAGAATATTTAATTAGGAAAGGAGGAAGTCAAGTTGTCTGTATTTGCACATGACATGATTGTATATTTAGAAGATCCCATTGTCTCAACCCAAAACCTCCATAAACTGATAAGCAACTTTAGCAAAGTCTCAGGATAAAAAATCAGTGTGCAAAAATTACAAGCATTCCTATACATAAACAACAGACTAATAGAGAGCCAAATCAAGAGCAAACTCCATTTACAATTGCTACAAAGGGAATAAAATACCTAGGAATACAACTAACAAAGGATGTAAAGGACCTCTTCAAGGATAACTACAAACCACTGCTCAAGGAAATAAGAGAGGACACAAACGGATGGAAATACATTCCATGCTCATGGTTAGGAAGAATCAATATTGTGAAAATGTCCATAACTGCCCTAAGTAATATATATATTCAGTGCTATCTCTATCAACCTACTCTTCACAGAAGTAGAGAAAACCCACCTTAAACTTCATATGGAACCAAAAAAGAGCCCGCATAGCCAAGACAATCCTAAGCAAAAAGAACAAAGCTGGAGGCATCATGCTACCTACCTTCAAACTATACTACAAGGCTACAGTAATCAAAACAGCATGGTATGGTACCAAAACAGAGATATAGACCAATGGAATGGAACAGATGCCTCGGAGGCAACACCAAACATCTACAACCATCTGTTCTTTGACAAACATCACAAAAATAATCAATGGGGAAAGGGTTCCCTGTTTAATAAATGGTGTTGGGAAAACTGCCTAGCCTTATGCAGGAAGCTGAAACTGGACCCCTTCCTGACACCTTACACTAAAATAAACTCCAGATGGACTAAAGATTTAAACATAAGAACTAACACCATAAAACCCCCAGAAGAAAACCTAGGCAACACCATTCAGGACATAGGCACAGGCAAGAACTTCATGACTAAAACACCAAAAATTGTCAACAAAAGCCAAAATAGAAAATGGGATCTAATTAAACTTAAGAGCTTCTGCACAACAAAAAACAATCATTAGAGTGAACCAACAACCAACAGAATGGGAAAAAGTTTTTGCAATCTACCCAACTGACAAAGGTCTAATATCCAGAATCTACAAAGAGCTAAAACAGATTTACAAGAAAAAAACAAACCCATTCAAAAGTGGGCGAAGGATATGAAGAGACACTTTTCAAAAGTAGACATACGTGAGGCCAACAAACGTGAAAAAATGTTCATCACTGGTCATTAGAGAAATGCACATCAAAACCACATTTTGATACCATCTTACGCCAGTTAGAATGGCGATCATTAAAAAATCTGGAGACAACAGGTGCTGCGGAGGATGTGGAGAAAAAGGAACACTTTTACACTGTTGATGGGAGTGTAAATTAGTTCATTGATTGTGGAAGACAGTGTGGTGATTCCTCAAGGACCTGGAAACAGAAATTGCATTTTACCCCACAATCCCATTACTGGGTATATCCCCAAAGGATTATAAATCATTCTATTATAAAGACAGTTATGTTCATTGAGGCACTGTTTACAATAGCAAAGACCTGGAACCAACCCAAATGCTCACTGATGATAGACTGGACAAGGATAATGTGGCACATATACACCATGGAATACCATGTAGCCATAAAAAATGGTGAGTTCATGTCCTTTGTTGGGACATGGATGAATCTGGAAACCATTCTCAGCAAACTGACAGAAGAACAGAAAATCAAACACCGCATGTTCTCACTCATAGGCGGGTGTTGAACATTGAGAACACATGGTCACAGGGAGAGGAGCATCACACACTGGGGTCCATTGAGGGGGCTCTAGGGGAGGGACAGCAGGGGGTGCGGAGGTTGGGGAGGGATAACATGGGAGGAAATGCCAGATATAGGTGACAGGGGGATGGAGGCAGCAAACCACATTGCCACATATGTACCTATGCAACAATCCTTCATTATCTGCCCATGTACCCTAGAACCTAAAGTACAATTTTTAAAAAGTATATATATATAATTCAAGAGCTGAAAAGACAGGAAATTGAAGTCAGAAAGTGGAATATTACTATGTAAGTGAAATGCTTAAATAAAGTGAAGCATTCAGCTCTCAGCATGACCCAAAAATAGGTAAATCCTACATACTTGAATGAAGAGTGACACATCACTATCTATTTCAAAAGAAGAAACCTGCACAATGTGTGATACATGGAAGAATGTTTTGTATCCACTCAAAAATTTAAGGGAAGTTGCATCTTCCAGGGAGATCCATGTTTCTCCTAAAACAAAAAGCTATAGAGAACTTTCCTGCATCGCTGATGGGAATGTAAAATGATGCAGCCACAATAGCAGAAAACTTGGTGGCTCATCAAAAGTCAAACATGAAATTTCCATATGACCTAGCAAGTCCACTCCTAGATATATACCCAAAATAATTGAAAGTAAGGACAAGCAGATACTGCACACCAATGTTCTTGAAAGCATTTTTCACATTAACCAAAAGGTGGAAACCACCCAAGTGCCCATCAGCAGATGAATAAGTAAACAAAATATGGTATATACAGAGAATGGAATATTATCCCACTAGTCATTATTCAAAAAGAAATGAAATTCTGATACATGCTGCAACATGGACAAACCTAAAAACATTATGCTAAGTGAAATAAACCAAACAAGAAAGACAAAGATTGTATGATTCCACTTATATGAGGTACTTAAAGTAGCCAAATTCATAGAGACAGAAAATAACATAGAGGTTACCAAGAGTTGGAGAAAGGGGAAGGGGGAGTTTTAAGTGTGAGGAGTTATATGATGCACACAGTTTCTATTTGGGATGATGTAAAGTTGTGGAAATGCTTAATGGTGATAATTGTACAGTATTGTCAGTGGACTTACTGCCACTAAGCTGCACAGTTAAAATGGTTAAAATAGTAAATTTTATGTTGTTATTTCACCACACATTTTTTAAAGTTACAGAGAAGATTCTGTAAGGATATACAGAAATTTATTTTAAATGCAATCAGGATAAGATTCCTGGAATGTACAGCTCTAGGAAGGGAGAGTAAATTACCAAAAAAAAAGTTGTGTAATTAAAAAAAAAAAAAACAAGCTTGTTTCCTGGAAGCTTAATGTCCACTTTAATTTGATTTAAATGAAAGTAAATAGTATTTCTTACACACCTAATAAATGGTGCTTAGAAATCTGTTTGTGAAACACAGCTAATTCATAGAGATACTGGGTTTTCCTACTAATTTTCCTGTGTAAAGAGGAAATGAAAAGGTTCCATTTTATGTGAAGGAACCTAAAACTAATTCTGTAATTTTCGGATAGATTAAATAGATGGACAGAACTAATAGATAATGGATTATGTTTGACAAGCAATACTTTCAGCTATCCAGGTCAGCTTACATTTGCATATACATTTATACGTGTATATTGTCATATTAGAGAAAGTTGTTTACCAATACTTAAGAAAAAAATAAGGCCAGAAAAATATAGGGTTAGCATAGGTAGCTAGAGCCAGGAGTGAGTCAGAATACAGTCTGCCTATATATACGGCGAAGCAGCAAAAGAGAAAACTTCAAGTCTGACTGTCAACTCTCCAGCAGCCAAAACAATGGAAGATGTATGATCAGTTCTTCATTTTAGGGGCAGATTATAATATGATGATGACTTTCATTCTACGTTTCCTTTAATTTTACTAGTTAGTGGCTGGACATGGTGGCTCACACCTGTAAGCCCAGTGCTTTGGGGCCCAGTAGATCACTTGAGTCCAGGAGTTCAAGACCAGCCTGGGCAACACAACCAAACCCCATTTCTACAAAAATTAGCAGGGCATGGTGGCATGTACCTGTAATCCCAGCTACTCAGGAGACTGAGGTAGGAGGATCACTTGAGCCCAGAGGCAGAGGTTGCCATAGGTGGAGATCACACCACCATACTCCAGCCTAGGCAGCAGGATGAGCCTCTGTCTCCCCAGTTTTTTTTTTTTTCTTTACTAACTAGTGATAGTGGCCTTTAAAAAAATCATTTTTTTCTGGTTTAGTATAAAAGCTACTGCTGGTAAAAGAATTTCATTCCTTTATATAGAAATAAGGAAAATGGAAGTATGGAAATACAGGTTTCTGAGTTTCTTTATTCTGTTTGTTTCCTTTGAGTTTTAGAATATTTTGAGTGCTAAGAAAATGAAAGTTGGCCTTTTGTTTCTTTTGGCAGCTAGGAGCAGTGACCAGTGAGATGGGAGGGTAGAGATATTAAACTTACACTATAACTAATAGCTCTTTTGCATTAAAGCAGATAAGATAGCTGGAGAGGAATAACAATAACAAGATTTAAAATAAATTTCACATATTTTGAAAGTGCTATTAGTAAAGTATTAGTACCTCTTTATTGCCATAGCAAATGCTAAATTCATTTGCAACAGCTTCATTAATCTAAATCTAGACAGTTTCATCAAGAAAGAATCTTAAACTTGCAGGGATTAGATTTGTATTTAGTAATGATTTTTTTCCTGTTGTTGTAAACCTGTAGTGCTGCATTCCTAAGTTCAGGAGGCATAATAATAAGAAACTCTTTTCTAATCGAGGGAATGCCTGTTTCAATGTTTGCTGATTTTATAGTGCTTCCTTATATTTCCTTTCACTTAAAGAAAGTGTAGATTAAAGTATTTAGACAAGAATTAGATCTTGTTGTTTGGTGCCAGTAGTATAGGATTTATTACACATATTACAATTAATAGCAGTCAATGTGTTTTAAATTTTTGTTGTATTTTGTGTGATTCCATGTGTGAATTCGCAATGCCATTCACAATATGGTAAACTCCACATTTTAGAACAAAAATGTGAATAGAATGCTTCACTTTTTAACGTAGTTTGTTTCCTATGATTGTACTAGTATTTTTTGACAATGATTATATGAAATACTTATGGGTTTGACATAGTGAAAAGTGGGCTAAACATGAACCCTACTTACTGGGTTTGTGGTATACATTTAAAAGTCATAGAAACCATAAAGATAGAGGCCAGCTGAAATATACTCAAAAAGAAAGTGAAATTCTTTATTTTTTTCTACATTAGTATATTTTATTCAGTATGGATCCTTTTATTTTTAAATGCTTTTTTTCATCTGTGTGTATACTATCCTTAACAACCAGAAATACTGATATCACTAGAATCCGTGTTTTGTTTCTATTTTTTTTTATGGTAGTGATAGTTTTTTATTGAACCATATGCTTTCTTGGTCAGAACTATGAATTGGTAAGACAGTCACTGATTATAGCATGCAAACTATAGCCATGAAGCAGTATTTTCTCATTGCAAATCCTTATCAAGAGTGGGGTTGAACACTTGATCCTGACCTCATTAATTGTATATTCTAGTCAGTGGTGTCAATTGGCCTATCCAGTGACATAAAATTTTTGTCACATCTCTATTCCCTAATGATCAACTGTCTATGGAGCTACATTATGATACCATACTGTAAAAGCTGTGATTAAAAACAACACAAGAAAACGTGAATTACATTTCCATCTTTGGCATTAATCGGATTTTTTTTTTATTACTGTAGACAAGTTTCAACTTTTCTAGGTTTCAGTTTCTTTAATTTTGATGAGAGAAACTTTTCCTACTTCTGACATTTTATGAAATTTGTTACCCCTTTATATGACATAGATTAAATTTTTATTTAGTAACATTTAGAGTCAAAAATTCTTTGTATGCCATTAAGTTGTATCTATTTTCAGGGCCTTTAAATTTAAAAATGCACAGGTGGCTTCACTATTCGAGTCACTATATATATGTATTGGTGGCTCTGGAATGCAAAACAAACAAAATAAAACAGTTTTTTATAGTATACATTTTGGACTATATTTATTAAGCATTCATCTCTGCTTCCTCTCAACTTATAGAATATGGCATTTACTAAGTTACTTAACTTCTGAATGTCAATTGCCTCACCTATAAACAGCAATAATATCTCACCTGCTTAATATGAAAATCAATGATAGGATATACGTTAATGTTTTTGAAAATTACAAAGCACGGTGCAAAGGAAATACATTAATAAATGTAATTTATAAAACCACTTACAAATTTTTGCTTTTTTGAGACCTAAGACAATTACATTAGTAAAGAGCCTATTGCTATTAAAGTAAATTTATATCTTCTATAGATTTCTATCCAGAAAGATATTTTTTTACATTATCAGTTTTCACAATTTTCTGTGCCTTATTCAACACAGTAGGTTGTAAGAACAAAACTAATTTTCAACATGTATAGCTCTCAACTGCTAATTGTTATTCTACAAAGTGACTCAACCTGCTTTTAAGAGCACTTAACAAAATATTTTGTCACTTAATGGTTCTGCCTAGCAAAGGACCCAGAGTTTGTATTAGAATAGATTTGCTAATTAGAGGTCCTGGAATTTGATGTTTCTGAACATTTTTTCTATTAGCTTGAGAAAAACATAATTTTATATTTTGTTAGATTAAAAAAGTGTAGTGTTTCCCTTGGTCTTGGCAATCAGAATCACTATTATTATACATCCAGAGATGCCAGTTTCCTCTTATATAGGTAATCTTTGATTCATACCTTTCTTAAATTTAACTTATAAACAAATTTGGCTAGATGTTTCCTTGCAATCATTGTCACTTTTACCTTTTCCTACTTGGACTACACCTGAATAATTTCATGCCCAAGCTTTTCTGGCCACTTTATTTACTTGTCTTCCATCTTTACTTAAGAATCCTGAAACTTTATTTTCACCCTTTCATTCAGCCATCAACAGTATTTAACAATACCACATTACATATATTAATAAAGTCCAAACTCTTTAACATTCATGAACTTTCTTGATATTGCTGCCATCTCTGTTTCTAATTTAATATTTCACTAATCATCTTTTTGCTTCCCAGTTTCCTTCATATTTGTGTCACTGGTATACTGCTTCACACGTAATAAGCGCTCAACAAATATTTCTTACACTGAATTGACTATTATGTGCACTTCCAAACTATATTGTTCAGTATTTCATGGACACACCCAACAGTTTCCCATTTCAGTGCTTTCTCATATGTCATCTTTTCCTCTTGGAGTAGTCCATCTCTGGACTACTCCAAAATGAGAAGCCTCATTTTTACTGAGGCTTCACATCATAATTTAAATAACAACTATTCTATTAATCCTTTTCTAATCTTGCCCATTATAAGTGATCTCACTATGTAAAATTCCTACCATAGTTATTCACAGTGCTCTCTCACAATACATACCTCATGCTCTCTTGTCCAATAGTTCTATGAATATGTGTCGTAATTCCCCTACTAATTCTTTATGTATAGCAGCACTACATATTCCCCTTATATGTATAGCAGCACTTATTCACCTTATATGTATAGCAGCACTTATTCCCCTTATAAAATATACTTATGTATACTTTATGTATAGCAGCACTAATTCCCCTTCTATCCTTTATGTATAGCAGCACTTCAGTAAATATGTCAACAAGTGAATGAAGAATAAAATTTAACACTAGATTGAAAGTTTCTTCAGATTTAAAGTGTCTCCTGCACAATTTTGTGTGTGTGTGTGTGTGTGTGTGTGCAATGCCTATAATAAGAACTCATTGATACATGTGTGAATAAATGCATGATTTGAGATGACATGAACCTAATCTAGCATGTAGGTTAGTCATTTACAAGATAGGGTCTCCATAAAATAAAGCAAATATATCACCTACCAACAGAATTTCTTTTTTTTTTTTTGTTCGTATTTGAAAACTATCATCAGAAACATTTTTTTGGATTTTATCTTTCTTCAAATTTAGAATTAAAAAAAAAACATAGGAAACAGTATCATTATCTATTGTGCATTGCAGCATTATTTCTTAGAGTGAAAAAAATAAAATATTTTCCATGTATGCTTTGTTTTGTGTGCATGTCATTGGGAAAAAAAATATTAAATTCATTGCCAAAATGAGATCTAGGAGATCTGGCAGTTTGGGACCCTTAGGATTATAGTATGAGATATTTATTATTCAGGGTTCTTCAGAGAAAGAGAACCAATAGACTGTATATAAATAGAGCAAGAGATTGGTTTTAAGAAGTTGGCTCAAACAATTGTGGGACCTGACAAGTCTGAAAATCTCAGGGCAAGCCATCCCACTGGAAAACCAGTGAAGGGTTGATGTTGCACTTTTTAAAAGTTTTTATTTTTGAGTCAGGGTCTCACTCTGTTGCCTTGGCTGGAGTGCAGTGGCACAATCACAGCTCACTGCAGCCTCAAACTCCCTTGCTCAAGTGATCCTCCTACCTCAGCCTCCTGAGCAGCTAGGACTACAGCCACATGCGACTATACCTGGCTAATTTTTTTTAAAAATTATACTTTAAGTTCTGGGATACATGTGCAGAATGTGCCAGTTTATAACATAGGCATATATGTGCCATGCTGGTTTGCTGCACCCATCAGCCCATCATCTATATTAGGTATTTCTCCTAATGCTATCCCTCTCATTGCTCCCCAACCCCCAACAGGCCCCAGTGTGTAATGTCCCCCTCTCTGTGTCCATGTGTTCCCATTGTACAACTTCCACTTATAAGTGAGAACATGCGGTATTTGGTTTTCTGTTCCTGTGTCAGTTTGCTGAGAATGATGGTTCCCAGCTTCATCCATGTCCCTGCAGAGGATATGAACTCATTCTTTTTTGTTGTTTGTTTGTTTGTTGTTTTAAGATCAAGTCTCAATCTGTTGCCCAGGCTGGAGTGCAGTGGCAAGATCTTGGCTCACTGCGACCTCTGCCTCTCAGGTTCATGTGATTCTCCTGCCTCAGCCTCCCAAGTCGCTGGGATTACAGATGCCCACCACCACGCGCTGCTAATTTTTGTATTTGTAGTAGAGATGAGGTTTCACCATGTTGGTCAGGCTGTTCTCCTTACCTCAGGTGATCCACCCACCTCGGCCTCTCAAAGTGCTGGGATTACAGGCATGAGCCACCATGCCCAGCCCCGAACTCATTCTTCTTTATAAGGCTGCATAGTATTCCATGGTGTATATGTTCCATTTTCTTTATCCAGGCTATCATTGATGGGCATTTGGGTTTGTCCCAGGTCTTTGCTATTGTAAATAATACTGCAGTAAACATACATGTTCATATGTTTTTATAGTAGAAGGATTTATAATCCTTTGGGTATATACCCCATAATGGGATTGTTGGGTCAAATGGTAATTCTGGTTCTAGATCCTTTAGGAATTGCCGCACTATCTTCCACAGTGGTTGAACTAATTTAAACTCCCACCAACAGTGTAAAAGTGTTCCTATTTCTCCTCAGCCTCACCAGCATCTGTCGTTTCCTGACTTTTTAATGATTGCTGTTCTAACTGGCGTGAGATGCTATCTGACGGTGATTTTGAGTTGCATTTTTCTAATGACAGTGAATGAGTATGTATTTATATACAAATATATATGCATAAACATGTGATACTTAACAACAGGTTGTCTGGGAAGTGAGTCTGAGTCTAGCAGTCAGATTTCTTATATGCATAGTAAGTTAGAGAAGGGGACATTTTAACTTTTATTTTGTACCCTAGTAACTGTTTGAATTTTTAAAAATGTTATGTACATGAATTACTTTTGTATATTATATCAATGGGTTTGTAAGTTTTGAAAAGACTCGTGTGGTATCCTGCACAAATTAAGCTTAATGCTTAGAATTCATAATGAAAAACTGATCTATGTTTTGGTATACATATATTTATGACAATGTGGTTCATTTTTTAAAATAGATTTTATTAGTGTTGTACTTTACAGAAGGCAGGATTCATAAGAGAATTAAATTCCAAAGTAGATTCTATTCACCTGTATTATGAAAAATATACATACCAAATGATAACTTCACTTACATTTTATGCTTGTCAAATATTTCTGTTTTTGAAGGTATTTTACATGGCACTTTTCAAAAGTAAAATAAAATGTTAAAAAAAATGTTACCAACTTTAAAAGAACTATTAACTTAAAATTCTTCTTCCACTTGATATAGAAGAAGGGTCCTATGACTGGATAGAGATAAAGAGGATGCCTTTTTAAAATAATTCAGTCCCGTGAACATTAGCTATAGTCACGAATGATAATGAGAGGAGAAAATTCCTTCATATTTCAATACATTTCACTGTGTACTTAGGTTTATTTAGTATATTTTAATTATAAATGTTTTCTTTTTCTTTGCATGACACATATACATTAATAAATGAATTAAAGCTTTTGTTGAATCTAAACTAGTTAAAAATTCTTGGCAAATGAAAATAATAGCTAATAATTGAAGACCTTTGTTCAGGAACATTCTGATTCATTAATTGCAAAAACAATAAATGTTAAACATACAGTACAAGATCTAATAAACTGAAATCTTTAAGCTAGTTTTGATTTCTATAAACTTTCTAATGCCACTGCTGTCATAAAAAGCTTAGTAAATATTGACTGAGGATGATGATGATGATCCAGCAGTATTTTTAAGACTGGGTGGCACTGGCAGTGCAGTCAGATATCCGGGACTTCACATTGTTATTTTGCCATGAGGCCCTTCCACCTGGCCCTCTCCCAAAAGGATAAATGTTTGCCTATAGTTAGGCATTTAAATGTGTAAATATTCCAGATTCAATTATATGTGAGGTAGCTAGAGTTTCCATTCTTTAAATCATGAACCAGTTCTCTAAAGTTTAAATGATTTCCAAAAGTTTACAAGGGTCAAAATAGACTTGACTGAATGTTTTCCCCATAATTCCAAAAGAATTATTTCATAAACTCAGGTCAGTATAAAAACATACTGTGCCCCACTGACTATTCCAAATGTATGATATTTATGAAACTTCTGAATTTATTAAGGTTTAATTTACTATTCTGTTTAGTTGTCAAGTTTTAAATGTTGTTGTATAGTATGTCTTATTCTCTTTAGTCTTATAAGAGTTTTGTGGCTATCAGTATTCTGTTCATGTAGTTCCAGTTATCCACCAAATAGCTTCTAAAACTTCCTGGTTCTGACTGAATCACAACTAAACAATATTCAATTACTATGTGAAGCAATCAAGAAGTTCAAAA